AAACCATCATTTAAATAGGGCGTCTCCAACAGTTTTGCACCTGCCACCAGTTACGCAATCGCTCTTGTTAAATCACCCGCAAACCATGGTTCAGCCCCTTTTGCAACATTCCAGTTTGCGAGCGCAAATTACTGCACGCAAAATTGGATCTTGATAAATCCGGCCCTTAGTCTTTTTGGCTTGGAAAAAAAAAAAAAAAATAAAGTTAGGAGGCTCTGTTTCCCGAGGTTCTAAACGTTAGATAAAATGTAGGTCAACTTCTCATTAACAAAGGTTGGGTCAGAATCTATTATCCTCTACCATACACAGTGAACAGAATGGGGAGGACTACAGGGAAAAAATAGTAGTATTTTAGGTCACCGGGTCTCCATAACAACCATGCGATATTACCTACATGCTAACTGGTTCTCTTGAGGGAGAAATTAGGAAAAAGTCTTATGTATTACTGTCAGAGGCTTTAACATGTGGACTTTGCTAAAGTCTACTGAAGCATTAAACTACAACAGTGGGATCCTGGTATACGAGACCAAGGTTCATTTGGAAACCCACTTAATGTCCACAGATAAATATGACGAGGACCTGTAATGTGAACCTATCTCTTTTAAAAAGCTATTGACGCCATGATGTTCACCACAGAATAAAAAAAAGTTAAATAAAAGGTTGCGTTATTACTATAGTTTTTTGAAACTGCAGTAGAAGAGGAAATTGCTTTAAAATGTTACGTACATCTTTACTGGTGAGGGCAAAAAAAAAAAAAAAAAAGCAAAATAAGAACAATCTTTTTCCAGGAAGCTGGACACTTACAATCAGCATAGTAACCAGCAGGTTCTTCTTAGTGACTTGTGCATGGGAGAAAATGTAGTTCACAACATTGACCATGTCCCCTTTGTTTTCTTCTCTGAGTGCAAACACACACTTGTCATAGTGGCCTGCAATGAAACCAATGCAAAGGGATACATTTGATCAAACCAAGTCGGAGAGCATCTGATTAATTCGAGTGTTAATCATCTCACCATTCTGGAACTGGATCTCTACTTTCAGGTACTGTCTGAGTAAGTCCATCACCACTGCCTTCATGTGGCCTCGGATGCCGCTGCGATACCTGATGGAGACGAACAAAGACGTACGGAGAGGAAACTGTTAAGAATCTGCACCAGTTACAGTACACCAATAGAATGAATATAGAGCTGAGGTACATGAGGCTTACTTCTGCACCAGTTGGACAATGCTTTGAGTGTTCATGAAGAACACTTCTCTCTCTGATTTCTTGTTGAGAGTAGCAGCATGGCTGTCCAGGATATTAGCAATCTAAAAACAAAGGAGTATATAAATATGTTAAATCATTCTCTATCTCAAATGACTACAAAAAAAACCAATGTGTGCATAGCTAGGTTTGGTGAGATGTGTTAGTGGTGCACCTGCTGGCTGGGGAACTGGCAGAGCACAGATGTTATGTTGCTGGCGTACTGAGCCATCTCCTTTTTAATGGCCTTCTCTACAGCAGGGGGGATCCGACCTGAAACGCTAGTCATGATGTCCTGAAGTTCAAGAAGGGGTAAGGATGGATCACGCATGGTTTTCATGAGCCTTTCCACCCACTCTTTCAGCTAGGAGACACACAAAGCAACTTTTTATTAGCATCTACCATTTTCAGCGCATATATGAGCATTACTTGTAAATACCAAATATTTACTTTAGCACTGAAGAAAGGCTCAGGAAGGCAGTAGCCGTTCATTATGTGAACGAGATGATCCAGAGTGCTGTGGAATACTCTATGCAGCTTCTCACCCCTCAGGGCTACGGTCTGGGCTAAAGGAAGTGCTCCTGTGTACAGCTCCGCCTGTTGGTTTAAACATACATCATAAAAAAGGGGGACATTCCGGGTAGATCAAGAATTCTAAATTAACTGGTTAATAATTTCAACAACCCTGGTTGGTTCTTCATAAAAACTGTAAAAAAAAAAAATCATTTTGGATTTATATAATTATTGTTAGTTTATATAACAGCCCTCCTAGATTTATCTGAAGGTTCTAACCAAGATTGGTCAAAGAGTTTAGGGATGATTTAGTAAGTTTTTACAGAACAATATCTTTAAAATAGCCTTCTTATTTGACCCTTCACGAATAAAACACTGATGAGCAGATCCAAATCTCAGCAGTTCCGGGCAAAACACTTGTGGTCGGAAGTTCGCTGTTTGTGCATGCGACGTCAATTGATACATTTTAAATGCGTCCAACCTAGCAAGCCATCAAAGCGTTATATTCAAAGGGATTTTATGAATACTCAGAAGCATCTGGGATCCAGCTCAACTCAGTCAACTCCAGGTAAAAGTAAAAAAAAAAACAAACAGATAAAATAAACAAAAAAACCCTAACAAATATGAGTGTGAGCTCCGCGAACGAGCAGAAGTGTGCTGCAGCGTTGTGGCTGACACGCCTCATCAACATCTCGTGGATGTTGTACCCCTGGATTGGGAGACCAGGGTTGTGGTTCCACTGCATGAGAAGGGGCATTGGAGGGGGTGTTCCAACTATAAGGCCGTCCACACTTCTCAGCCTCCCTGGGAAGGCCTATGCCAGGGTCCTAGAGAGCATAGTCTGGCTGACTGATGAACTTCAGCTTTAGGGGAAGCATGTGTGGTTTTCGTTCTGGAAGTGGAACAGGTGACCAGCTCCACACTTAATGCAGGATTCTCAATCATGCTTGTGTGTCCACATGGGTTTTGTGGAGCTGGAGAAGGAATTCAATCGTGTAACTAGTGGTTCCCTGAGGGGGTTGCTTCAGGAGTAGGGGACTCCGTACTGGGGCTATCTGGTCCCTATACAAGTGGAGCAGGTGTTTAGTCCACATAGCCAGTATTATTTCAGACTTGTTCCCGGTGCATTTTGGACTCAGACAGGACTGCCCTCTGTCACCGATCCTGTTCATTAACTTTATGAATAGGATTGGGTGTCGGGGACCAGTGGATCTCATCCCTGCTTTTTGCAGATGATGTTGCTCTGCTGGCACCCTCCTGCCAAGACCTACAGCATTCACTGGGGGCGGTTTGCAGCAGCGTGTGAAGCGGCAGGGCTGAGAATCAACCACCGCAGGGTGGCTGGGCTCTCCCTTAGAGACAGGGGGAGGAGCTTGGTCATCCACGAGATGCTTGGAGTTGAGCCTCTTTTCCTCCACATTGAAAGGAAGTCAGCTGACGTGGGTCAGACATCTTTTTAAGATGCCCCCTGGACCCCTCCCTTGTGACACACTGGAGGGAGTATGTCTCTCAGTTGGCCTGGGAGCACCATGGGCTTCTCCCAGCAGAGCTGAAGGAGGTGTCTGGGGAGAGGGAGGTCTGGGAGTCTCTGCAGAGAGTGCTGCCCTCGCGGTCCCGGATAAAGCAGCAGATGACGGGTATGAAATCTGGTTTGATAGTTTTGTTTCTCCCTTTCATTTAACACAAAAAATAATACAAATGACAAAGGGGTGCATGGAAACTATTGGAGGGGTACTTTGAATAAGAAGCCAATTTTCTACCTATCTAGCATGTGGATTAACTCGGCAGGACCTTTCTCCAAAGCTCTTGTGGTGCACTGTCAGTCAGTTGGCTAAAATATGCACAATACACTTGCTTAAACAACACTAGGCTAATTAACATTGATTGAGAACAACACAAAAAATCCTGGTGAAAACACTAAACAAGCAAATCTGATCACTTTTGAAAAAGAGGTTTTAATAAAAGCGTAAACAAGCTGCAGGATACAGACTTACCATACTTACAAAGATGGCTGATCATGTTAATACACTCACTAAATAGTTATTTCAATATCCCCTTGTCATTCTTTCAAGATAACTATGACAAAAGGGGTTCAATAATGCTTCAATTTTTTGTGCAATTAAGTTAGTATGTTACGTTTACTTATGCCTGAAATCTTAAACCAACACATGTCTGTTTAGGACCTATAACATAATCAAAAGAAAACCTTTGTTAGAGGTGAGGTTAAAGATTTTGATCTTAGAGAGAGATGGAAATATCTGACTGAAAAAATTAAAGCCTATTTAATACTTTCCTGTTAATTGCTGGCTAACCATCATAAACATACAATTAGCCACAGTCAGATTTGCCTTCCATTTTTCTAAACCCATGTCGACATATTTGGGTGTTTAGACATTGAAGCAGTGAGACATCTCTTTTTATCAGATAATGGAGCTGTCATCTTCGTTGGCAGCATCGATTTCCTGCCTCACCGATGCTCTGAATCTCAAGTGATGTGTCAACGCCCTAACAACCAATGTATAATGCCCTCAATCTGCAGCTGAGTATTAATCTGCACTCTTTCAAGAGGGCAATTTTTCATAGAGGACTTAATTAGAAAAAAAAACACATTATTCACTGCTAGACAGATGTATTGGTGTATTTTGGAAAATAAATTACAAGCACGGGTATAATGCTTCAGTCTAACCTGTTGCACTCTGCTTGGGTCATCCAGTTGCAGTTTGGCAATGACACAGCCAGGTTCCAGAGCTGCTCCGGCTCTTTTCACATAGTGAATACATCCTGACTCCGCAGCAGTGAGGGTCATGACCATCTTCATCACCTGATATCCACAGAAACATTAAAAACTTGTAACCAAGACATCTATTTTTGAAGGGTCAACCTTCTTTATTTGTTAAAGCTCTGAATAGACACTGTACCTCTATTTCTGCAAAGCACTGTCCAGCAAACACATGTCCACCATCCTCAACTGTGTACTGAATGAGTTTCCCAGCTGAGGGAGATCGCAGCAGCGAGGGATCGTTCTCCTTTTCAAAAACACACGTTTTGTTCCCAATTGTGATTCGATACCTAGGTAGCATAAATTCATTAGAATGGTGTTAACAGATATCAGGTTTTAAATTCAAATACGGCATGCTGTGGTTTTAAACTACAGTGCAGCAATGAATTCTTTAATGTTGTACAAGCTAAAACATACTGACATTATAAAGTATTTATGAGTCTTACCTATCCACCTCTTCCTTCATGTATGTAGTGTAGCTGCTTCCGTCATATGACAGCAAGAGGCCCCCATCACTCAGGCGATGAACATCCACCTCGGCCAATGAGCTGTTCATGATCACCACATACGAGTTGGGAGATTGTCGTGTCACTTTCAGGACATACTTTGTGCCTTCGTAGATCAGCTCCACATCCACCGTGTTCTGTAGTGTATGCGCTGGTAGCACCTGCCCCCTGATTAAAGAGTAAAAAGGCTTAAGTTTTTTTCCCCCCAAAATAATGTTTAACTTCTAAAAAGAGAGTTTAGCTTCAAAACGTACCTTTCTAGGGAATGAAGAAAGTTGGAAACACTGTTTCTTAGATTGACATCTGCGACATGCAGAGCTCCACTCACTATTCCAAGCATGGTGTCAGGACGCTCAGCCTGTAAACAAGTCTTTTTACTCCTCAGCCGCAAAAACCTTATTCAGTTAAAGCTGTGTGCATACCTTTTGAATTTAAATACACTATTGATATGAGCTCATGTTGCAGTGCTGTGATTTCATTCTAGAACTGTTCTCTAGAAGACCACTAGGTGGCTAGAGCTGTATACCTGCATCTTCTCTGCAATAAGTCGATCCAGCCAGCCTGTGTCGATGCTATTATGCTGAAAGCTTTCAGTCTCCAGCAGCTTAATCAGGTATTCCACTGTGGTTCGAAAGTCTCCTCTGATAGACAGTTCCTTGAGAGCAACCACCATGTTGCTGGAAAAAGAAAATGGTAATAAAAAATCTTCTTCCAAACAGAACCATCTACATTTATATTTTTTGTGTCAGTTAGATTACTGCTGAGACTTTTAGTGGACCTGACTGTTCAGATGAAACCATAATTGAGTTTAGGCATCACACCGGTAATGGGTTTGGCAAACAATACAGAATGAATGAATGCAAAAACACCTCAGATTATGTATAGTACAGGCTTTGTAATAATGTGGTCCCGTAGTATCTGTAAAGGCACCAAAACCATTATGACCTTTCAAAATTTGGACAACTTCTAAAGACATTTATTTCTGTTCACATTCGGATAACATTTCTCACTAAGCCATATAGACTCTGTGGAAATTCATTCCATTTAATAAATTCCAGTATTCTCAGTTTTATATCCATGCTATTAATAATAGACTAATTAATTTGATTGCATAGGTCATGTTTGGAGATGTAGTGTTTTAGAATTTGATTTAAAGTTCACTCACGAAATGGCTTCCTCACGATTTTCCCCCCAAGAGAAACAGTGCCCAAACTGAGAGTCCGCAAACTCGTGCAGGCCTCCAGCTGCAGCAACACTGAAGTAACCCCAGACATTTTTATTGCTTCGGAAATTCAGCTCTTGCACCGTTCCGGAGCTTGGCTTGAAGCCCTGCAAAGATACAGCCAGACACCGTTTTTTATCTTCAAAAGGAAAAAAACGCTCACAAATGAAAAGCAACAGAACATGAAGCAGCAGCTATGTGGTGTAGGAACAGAGATGGAATGGTACCTCATCTGGGTTTTCACTGGTGATGCGTGCTGCGATGACATGCCCGCGTGGGGAGGGTGTGTTTGACAGGGACTCAAAGTCAATAGGAGTATCTCCCCAAGGCTGGACCCCATAAAGCATCCGGATGTCTTTGATCCGATAAAGAGGAATACCCATCGCAATCTGATTAGAAGTGTTGGAAAAACATTACGTTAATGTTCAATACCCAAATTGACATCCTTGCATAACTTTCAATACTCCTTGGTCTTTTTTACATGAGCAAACCTAACTGAATTTCAAAACAGATAAATGAATAACAAAAAACAATAATATTTTACAAAATGTTTCAATCAAATGCAGTGCAGACAGAAAACTTTAGCTACGTTCAAACTGCAGGCCTTGATGCTCAATTCCGATTTCTTTTGTGAAATCCCGTTTTTTTGCTTTGCCGCTCACGTTTACAAATATGCGATGTGTAAGAGATCTCCAGTGTGAACGGCATTTATACAACGCAAGTGTGTGGCATGTCAGTAGAGGACGTAATGACGTCACCTTAAAAAAACAATCTTTTCAATATTTAAACATAAATACTACTCTCCGCATCATCGTCTGCCATGGTTGTTGTTTTTCTTGCCACTTTTGTGTAGCAAGGTGCAGAATAGTGACCTTTGTCGGGTATTAATGGCATACAGGTCAGATTAATGCAACCTTGCTACTCAGACGGATCAGATTTGTATCGGATTCAGGACCACATAGCCAAGTGGCCTGGGTTGCATTGGAAAAAAATTGGATCTGAATTGTTCAGACTGTCATGAAAAGGTCAGATACAGGTTACATATAGGCATAAAGAAATCGGATTCGGGTCACTTCAGGCTGCTGTGTGAACATAGCCAAAGTAGTCGAACTATGTGCGTTTTGATTGTGGTATAAATCCAATGTTCTGAGTTATTAAAGGATATTTAAAAAAACAAACCAATGTTTTTGATACAAAAACTGCAAAAAGCAAAATCATACTGTTTAAATGCTTTTCTTTAGCAGGGACAGGTACACTGGTCTAAGTTAAAAGAAGATAAACTAAGCTAAACAAAACTAAAGGCTGGATGATTAATTGTTTTTTCCATACAATTTTGAAAAAATAAATAAATAAAATCACAATTTCCATATTGCAGAGGCATTCAAAGTTTAAACCATGTTACAATTAGGTGTATAATTTCTCGTTCCAGTGATTAAGGCAGTAGTATTATACTTAAAATGAGCCTGCCACCACAGAGGGTAAAAAGTTGCAGTTGGTCTGCAGATCAATGCATGCAGTTAAAAAAAAATACCTGCAACAATGGATAAAAGTGCTTTCAAGGCCATGAAAACAAGGGAAGCCTGGAGGTTCCTTTGTTGTTTGGTAATATTTTGATTTTAAGAAAGGCCCCCGTGTGCGGTTTAGGCTATTATCATTACCATAACCCCTAATTTACATAGCATCCACTCCACCCCGATGTGAACTGCATAAACCGGCAAAACTCTATTAAATTCTATTTTTGAAGGATGACGCAGCAAGAGGCAACACGGCAGTAAATATTCACGTTGTGAAAGTGTAAATTGAGGGTAAAGATTCAGTATTTTACCAATAAATTAAGTAAATAAAGCGAACACTTTACTTTATGTTGAACAAGGACTGATGCTCCTCGTTTATTCACAGTACCAATTGTTTACATATACATTTGCAATAACGTACCTTAACTGTAATATGCAATTACCTTCCACTGCACTTTAATTTAGATAGCTTCTGTCCAAACTTTATTTATTCATTCCATAGTAAAATCCATATGCTATTGTGCATAACTGTAAAAACCCTTTTTATAGTAATATCCACCTGTATATTATATTCGGTACATATCCAGCTGTAAATTGAGTTCATAACACTAGTGATCTATATATTAGATTCATTATTTATAATGGTATTCATCTCTATACTCACTCAGTAGAAACCCATATCCTATATTTATGGAACCACTATTTATCCTGCACTTGTTGCTATTGCACTTCTGGTTAGACCTAAACTGCATTTCATTGCCTTGTACCTGTACCTGTGTAATGAAAATAAAGTTGAATCTAATCTAATCTAATCTGCGAGCTATTCTCAGTTATGAAAACTGTTCAATTTCTTGTTTTAATTAGGCCTCATCTACAAACATGTACATCTATTGAGCATATGTGTTACTTGTAGTTAGAGCGTATGAAAATTTAAAATAAAACTGCAATTTTGATGTAGGTAAAAGCAGAACATCACAAATACTGATATCTGTCAAACTACAGAGTTTGCAATCTGAATTGGGAAAACAATTTTTTTAAAGTAAAGTAAATATAATAGAAAAACCAAATGTTCACACCGAGAGCAGAAACTGATGTTATTTGAGACTGACGAAAAGGTTCTTGTCATAGAATGAATAAAAGATACACATTATTTGCAAGGGTAAAAAAAAGCTTTTAAAAAATATAATTTTATTCTCAAATATTCTTTTTTTTTTGCAATCTGAGGGAAAACATTTGCTTTTAATAATAGATTTCCCTCTCAAAACTTTTTCTTCACCATTTCAAAACCTCAATCTTTGCTCTCAATACAGGATTTTTATCTCAATGTGAAAATTGTGCTTCAGGCTGACCTGCGTTCCTATTGGCCAGCATCAACAGAATTGACGGCAGAGTTGTGATGTCAGGTGCAAAGGTGGTTCCGCGAGAAAACTTTCATTACCCAGACTTCCTGGCTCCATCAGTAGGTGCGTTCGAGTTGAATGTGGACGAGAGCTTACGGCTGTATTGAGTTTAAGTGTCGTAATGTAAATTTTCCGCCAATAATTTGCATAACACACGTGATTCCAGCATTCTGATTCAGGTGCCGACAGCCTGTCCAGCTTCACAACAGACTTTTAACCCCGTCTATCAACACAGCCGTAAGCTTTTATCCACATTCCAGATGAGGTGGTGTTCATCTCTAACGCACCTAATATCACCACTCAGCTGTCAATTCTGTTGAGACTGGCCAATAGGAAGGCAGGCCTGCCAATGAAACATTTTCACACTGAGAGAAAAAATCCTGAATCAAGAGCAGGTTTTGAGCGAGAGAATATAC